AGAGGTAAATAAATCCGCTGAATGCTAGTAATTCGCTCAGAGTTTTATCTTGACGAATAGGCTGGCTCCAGAGGAGATTTTGCTGTTTTCCTCATGTATAAAGTGAATCAGAGCCAGTTTTCCTTATATTGTTCCTTTGAAAAGGCATATCTTCTCTTAGACAGATAGTTCTCACATTTTTTTGACGTAATAATCCAATACAATTCCTATTAACTATAAAACTGTGTAGCAAACTCAGCAGTAAAATTCCGCTATGCATAAAAACGCTGCAGCACACAAGACTAAAATTTGCCAGATTGCTGTTCCAGGAATGAATAATTTCAGCTTATACCCTATGCACAATGTTCACTAGACCTTGTCATCAAATGATTTCTTTTTTGCTTCAAAAACAGAAGAAGTATTTGTATATTTCATACTGCAGTCTGATGATGATTTGAATGATGTTCAGGAATGATCTGAAGGCTGTGATAAAAAATATTTTTATATTGGAACTCAATGCGTAATTGATTGCTGTACTAAATGCATTTAAGTCTACATAGGAAACTGAAAATGGAATTTTAGACATTTATCTTCTACAAATTTATTATGCTTAAACTTACTGAATATCTCTATATATGGAATAAAATTAAGCAGAGAGAGAGGGAATATTTCACAAATGGCATGACATGACAAAACTAAAATGTACATAGGCTGTACAATGAAATTTTCTACCATTATGAAGATGTAAGACACAGAGCTCTTAAGTTGTCTGAATAATTTAAAAAATAATACACTTGTTATGAATCCAGGTAAACATTGAAATTTAAAATGGAAGTTAGATTTTGAATGTTGATCATAAGTTTCAAGGCTATTAAGTTAAAATGCAGAAAACTTTTCAAAAGAGAAATTAAAAAAACTGAAAACAACAAATTACAGAATTAATGTATTCACAAAAAAAAAAAAAAAAAAAAAAAAAAAAAAAAAAATCACAGGAGTTCACCAGACAAACCAGTTAAGAAAAATAATAATTGAACTAAGGAAGTAGCTGTTATTTTGGAAACAAATGAACAAAAACTTTTCATTTGAATAATAATAAAAAATATAGAGAGATTTTAAATCATTAGTGAAAAGATCATTAAAAATGCCAGTGTGGTAACTGTATTAGAAATCTCAGCTCTTCTACATATAAATCCATTAGTAACTTTAAATAAATAAATAAAGGTAATACAAGACATTCTGATGGTTCTGATGAAGTCATACATGTGTGCTGATTCATTGCAGTTAGCAATATTTCTTGAAATGTGTTGGCCCTGAAATCAGTTTCTCATGTATTTCAAGGTTTTGAAAAGAAGTAAAAAAAGTATCAAATTGGTTAAAATTTATTCAAAGGGGTTAAAACAAAAAGAGCGGCATTTATCTCATGTACATATTTTAATTCTTTTAGAACCATCAAAAATTGTTTTCAGATTTTTTCATTAAATAGCTTCACAAAACTCACTTCATTCTCTGACAACTGAAAGTATTAAATTATATTGCTTGTATTATTTGTTACTGTACTAAAAATGGTCTGCCTTAATAGATGTTGTGTATTATTTATTTTTAGATTATTATATTAGATTAAGTTTATTCTTATAGGAAAAAAAAGTAATAATGTATATATGTGCAAGATAAGTTGATAAAAAGGTTAATTTTTTTGATTGTTTACTTAAAACATCCAACAGAAGTCATACACTTAAAATTTATATGTATAAATTGATTCACATATTTGCATTAAACTGAATATTTTTAAATACATTATCTTAGAATAATAATGTACTTATGTAGAATTTACTAATATTTTACTCTATATATACATACAAATATATTGCATTATTTCAGACTTCCATATTTAGATATTTGGATAAAAAAGGCCAAGCATTTTTAGATGTCACATCTGTAAATAGTATAAAGCAAAACTCTTACAGAAAAAAAAAAAAAAAAAAAAAAGGAAAGAAAAAGAAAAGGACATTTGAAGTACAGTTCTTATACTAGAAATTAGGTGCTTTGAACCTATAAGTTCTTTTGATAAAGTTAATGACAAGACATAGTGCTGCCATTTATTTTTAAATAGAATATATAAATATGTCATCTATTACTTGAATATAATATATATATATTAATATATAAATATGCTTGAATATAATGTATAATTATCTTCAGGAAAATATTCATAACATTATAATTTTTCTAACAAAAATAATCATCTGTTATCATACTTCAATACCATAAAATATATTTGGAGGTAAAATGACTTTCCTGTATAAAGTTTTATTTTTGAGCTTATGAGGGCAGGATATGATAATAAAACAAATACTGCATAAGTCATTTGTAAGCGATTATTTTCTATATTCAGAAGTCACATATATTTATAAAAAATACCTTAGAATTATCTTTATTATAATTTTGTACATATCCCCTCCTTCTTTTCAATATTAAATATAAGAGAGTCAATTGTGTTTTTAATAAATCATCAGGTACACTATCAAAAGGTAAAAAATTTTCACGTCTTTATATTAAAATTTGAGTTCTTCTAAGAGTTTAAAACAAACCCACACAAAAGTTTGCTGTAGAAACCAAAATTATGATAAAAAAATTTCTAAACTTTTTTTTTAAGGAGCTGGGTGGTTTGTTTACATTCTTTTTCAGCAAGACATTTTTCGAGACCAGACTCAAAAATGTATGTATGCATGTATATCTGTGCACACACACACAAACGTATGTACACACATATACATATGCTACATGAACACCTACATCGGTACATACAAGCATATGCACATACATTTCTGAATTAATCTCCTGAACACACTCTTTATGTATATAAATGCTTCTGTATGCAATTTTATAGAAATATTTAGCTACGCATGACAGAAAAATTACACAAGGTTTTAAGACGATTTTTCAATTTCGTTTCGTAAGAATGTGATTTTACTGCTTGCATGCATGATTTATTTAAATCTGTTGATAAGAATTTCAAGAAATTTTGATTATTTGTGTAAACTCCGCATCAGTATAAAATGATCAAACATTAGCAATTTAAAACAAGAATAATATTCAGATATATTCAAAGTTCTTTATTTTATATAATGTTTTAGATATCTATCAAAGAATGATAGTAATTAGTCATCAAACGAAATAAAAAATAACTTTTTCTTGACATTCTAGCACTACACGGAAAAGCAATTCACCCTTCCGATAATCAACACAAATGTAAACAAACATCTCTTTACGACTGGTCGGAATGCGCAGAAATCACGAAAGTGTCTCTGCGCAACTAGTCGTACGTTTAGCATTTTTACCATGTTTCAGCTAAACGTCCGACGTCGTACGGGTAGACACAGCCAGATATCACTGGATGATGTAACATTTTTTTTAGGTTCCTTAAACGGTTAAACATTAAGAGCTGTTCGTCCAAATAGCAGGGCAACTAAATATGACTGAAAATCTAAGAGGGAGATAAGGGGAAGAAGAGAAGTACCAAAAGGGAGCAAGACAATCCAATCGGACAAGTTCGCAAAAAGGTGACGAGCGATCATAGCTTTCAAGGAGGACCCAAGACAATGGAAGCTTACTTCTTGGATCTTCTTCAGGGATCTTCGAACATTTTTTTAGAAGTACCAGTCGTGAGACTTTAACTAATATAAATCCCATCGATGACATCATGGGTGAAATCATGAGCTTTAATAAAAGCTTTTTGGCAATAATCTATGTCAAAAAAAGGATGTTGTGTTCTTCATTCACATGCTTCAACTGTATATATTAGAAAATTATTTAGAAAAAATTTTAAGTCACATAAAAATAAACTGTAACATATAAAAATAAAATACAAGTAGTAGAAAATTCTGGAGTAAATAATGAGAAGAAAAAATATATTACAAGTCCTATTTGGTATTTAACTGTTCGGTTAGGACCGAACCTACGATCTCGTTAAGCAAAAAAAGTTCCGAAGTCTATACCGCTCGGCTGCGTCTTCATCTGATCAAGTTAGCACTTAAAAGTACTTAAACAAACAGTTCTACTGCCTGCAGGGCGAAATCAAGCTTTTCGTTCTCGTTGGTTACTTTGGTAAATTTATGATACAGATCTTTTAATTTGAAAATAAGGGATTTAAATTCATCTAGGTTTTTGACTTCTGATATTTTGGTTTTTTCGGTCTCGTTTTCTTTAGGTGCTGTAATATTCGCGTAAGTTTTCTTATTGGTATCTTCTTTAATTGGTTCGGGGTTTTGTTTAGTGAAATTTGGAAAATCTTCTTTTTGTGGAATTTTCTGTTTTTGTTGGTATTTTTTACTTGGGTGTTCAGGACAATCAATACTTGTAGCGGCGTGAAAACCACCACAAAGCACACATCTTGCAGGAATTTTAACACCTTTACAATTCATAAAAACAGTAACAATTGATTTCTTATTTTTAAAGAAAATTATAAAACAATTTACCTAAAATGTTCAAATTATAGAGTTTAAATCCTAGCGTATATCATTCCATGTTAAAGAACGAAGATACCAGCTATAAACAGAAACATTAAAAATGTATTTAAGGTATTTTGATTATACTAAGTATTTTTTTTCACATGGAAAGAAACCAACATGACATGTGATAATTTTTAACATATTTATCAAATTACATAGAAAAAGAAAGTCAATACTTACGAATGAAAAGTAATCTTAGGAATCTTTTTCGAAAATCTGTTTGTGCATCCATATGCAACACAAGTTGACATGCTTCAAAAAGAAAAGGAAAAAATATTGCAATTACAGACTTTTTGCACAAGTCACAGCGATAACAGGAACATGACCGCGAAGCTTCACCAGTGTTCTAACCTCCTTGTTACGAATAAGGTTTAGAGGAGCCTTAGTTACGAATGGTAATGCGAAATGGACGACTAGTTGCGCAGAAAACAAGTTTTCGATGTCTGCGCTTTAGAAGCGTTCGATGTTGGGCGGGTAGACAGAGCTATATTTTATATTTTATATATATATATCGGCGAAAAAGTGGGAATGTGTTATTGTGATTTTTAACTTTAACCGCACGGCAATGTTTGAAGATTTTGTGTAAAATCGGTTTGGTTGAAAAAGTGTTTGTGATTTTGCCGGTAAGTTATTGACAGCAATTTTCTCTCTTTCACTAAAGTTCTGAGGTAAAAAAAAATAAACCAGAATAAATTTCTCGTAAATTCGTGTCAAGAGATACTTCAGAAATAAAATATTGCAGAAGAATTTTATTGTTGAACCATTGTGTTTTTGTGCTTTTTGACACATAAAAAGTGTACTATTCAAATTTGTAGTTTTTCTAAGTTCGGATTATTGAAAAGCTTGAAACACAATAATTCAAAGAGAGATTCACATTTGTGATGACAAATGAAATAATTTATTGAAAAGTGTTAATAATCTCCATGTAACCACATTTTTCATGTTATTTTTAATTGAGCACTGAAAATTACTTCATTGTGCACAATTTTTAATTCGCTATCAGAAATTACTTTTTCAAAGTTACTAATTGATGGTTAATTTGATATGTGTTAATAATGTAAAATTTATGGTATCTTACTAAATTGTATTGATGGTTACTTTGATATGTGTTAACAATGTAACCTTTATAGTATCTTACTAGATTGTATTGATGGTTAGTGTGCTATGTGTTAACATGAAATTTATGGTGTCTTACTAGATTGTATAATGTAGTTCATTCTTAATGAATGAACCTTAGTATTAGTTGCTGAACACTATGATCATCTAACCTTAGTATCACCTGATTACATGTACCATCATTTTTTATGTTTTCTAAGTATCCTCTGCACAGTGTCTGTATATGCGTTATTTACTGTTGTAGTTATAGTATTTATTCCTTATGATTTTTATTATTTATATATATTTAAAAGGATTCAAATTGTGAAATTACTTGTATGCATACTTACCATGGGTATTTAACAGCGTCACCAGTTCACCTGCTTCTGTGCCAATCCTTTTTATAGCTTATTTTCCCAATACTACCTATTGAAAATTAATTACTTTAGTAACTTAAATTAGTACAGTAAGATATTATTAATCGTAATATTTCAAAATAGTAAAATTTAAGATATTAATAATGATTAAGAAAAAAGGCTAATCTTTAAAATATGGTAACAGGTAGTTTGGCGACATTTTGGTAAGGCGATAAAGGTTACTAGATAGGACTTTAGCAATAATCTGAGAAGTACACAGTTCGAATCACAGATTATTTTGTCTCGGAGAAATGAGAGATCATGAGACCTGTAATGCGACATTTTCCAGAAAATTCCGATCGTGATTTTAGCTAATAAGCACTTAGAAACAATTTTGCTGCTAAAGTGCAGAATCACCCACTTATTTGTTTGGCGCTTTTTACAAGAGTAAGAAGAATTGGATTTTTGTCAATTTTCTTTGACTTTTTAAGTGAAAATAGGTCGATGTGTACATAGATAAAGTCAAGAGTGTGCGCAATGCCATTTTTCTGCAATTCTGGGATGTTTTTATGAGTGGAAATAGGTTGACGTGTACATGGATACCGTGTATGGCAATTCCTAAAAATGCAGCAAGCAGTTTGTGATTCTGCACTTTCTCCCAATTTTGCACCTAATCTTCGTCAGGATTAAGCATTTTTGTTCCATAAAAGTTCTAGTATAAGCGTAATTCGGCTAGCAGATTGTTGGAAAAAATGTTGAGTAAAAAAAAAAAAAAAAAAAAAAAAAAAAAAAAAAAAAAAAAAAAAAAAAAAAAAAAAAAAAAAAAAATGCCTTTACTTTGTGAAAACAAAATGGCATCCAAAACAAAACTAGCAGGTTGATTTAGCAGGGTTGGTTGTCAAATGTTTGCCCCAAAATCGCCAAGTTACCATAATCTAAAGATTCACCAAAAAATATTTGAAAAAAAAAAAAAAAGGTTTATGATAATATGATATATAATTAACAATACTAGGAGCTAATTAAATGCTTAATTACTAAGTTATCTTCATTAAATTTCGAAGTTACAGAAATATTCTACAGGGATAGAGCCTAGGCTCAGGCACCCTGGTGTAGCAAGCACGATTCCACAGAGGAGTTTTAATGAATGATTGCCATAGGTGGAAAATTTTCAATTTAATTATATATTTAACTTATCTGACAAGCCTATCTGAAGTTATGCACTAGTTTAATAGCTATCACCAATTGAGCATAATGGCACTCATTGGTAAAATCGTTGGTTGTCCATGTGGATATTTTTAGTGTTTTGCCCATCCAATGTTTACTGAATAATCCAATATTTGTAAATGCAGTAATTTCTTGTAATTACTGTTTTTATGTAAAAATTATCCGAGTTGCACATTCTAATATATATTCCTGTGAAAAAAAAGACAGCTTATTTTTTTTTTTCTGATTTAAATCAGATTTTTTTCCCTTTTTTAACTTAGTAAATGGTTACCAAGTATTGAATATATTTTAGTTAAACAAATACTAGTTAGATGATATTAAAAGACATGGCTCTAGTGTAGAATTGGGTACCCCTTCGATTAGCGACAATTTTTTAAAAATTTTGCCAATGAAACCTCACTTCTGGTTACCATGATAGTTTTAACTTTGTTTTAGCTTCCTGATTTTATTTAAATGAAAATAGATTGATGTGTATATGGACAAACTAAAGGCACTGCACAATGCCTAGTTTGTACAATTCTAGGAGGTTTTTTCAAATGAAAACAGATGAATGTGTACATGGACAGAGTTTGTGCAATTCTTTGACTTATTATTTTGGTTTTGTGTAGCGGCCATCTTGAAATTGTGACTTCCTGGTGCTGATCTTGGCGTCAAAAAAGAATCGCCAAAAAACAAGGGGCACCCAAAAAAGCATAATATAAATCTTTAAATTTGAATTAATGTAATGTAAATTGTGTGTAATTTGATTAATTATAGTAAAAGGACTATCCGGAAAACTTGGCAAATGCCATATATGTAAAAATTCTGGATCGTTGAAAGCATAAAAAATTTTAATTCATCTTTGTAAAGGTTTAAAAATTATAGAACAGTCATTTTATTTGTTTCAAACTTGAATAGCAAAAGGTAGCATTTCAAATTATCGTGCATTTCAGCGTATAACGCACAATTTTAATGAAAAAAAAAAAAAAAAATTCAGAATTTACAGGTGCACATTATCCACCGAAAATAAAAAATTGTAGATTTCAAAATAAGGACAAGATGAGGGTATAAAAATCAAGATGTCTACTTATCTGTCAAATATAAAAAATTATAGATTTCAAAATAAGGAAAAGATAAGCATATAAGAATTAGATATCTATATGTACCTAAATGCTGTTTATTTTTAAAAAATGACATACCATACGAACTTAAAGATTTTCATTATTGGACACACATGAAAAGTTTGTCCATATTCATCTTCTGTTTTATCTTCAGGTTCATTATCAAATTCTGTTTCTTCTTCACCATCATTGCTACTCTGATCCATAAATAACTAATCATCTTCCATTCCAGCTAAATCGTTAGATACAGTGGCTCCCAAAAGTCATTGGTACACTTATGATTTTCATTGAAATAGGGCTTTATCCATTAATTAAAAGTAAACTTTCTGAAGGAGATATTAATAATAAGATCTATAATCTATTCGTAACAAAATTACATGAAATATTTGTGAAATATGCAAAACTTTAAGAAATTAAGGTTGATCTTTACATTATGGTAACTTGGTGAAAATTTGGCAACCAACTCTCCTACAGCAACCCTCTATTTTTTTTTCCCCACCGCCATTTTGTCTTCACGAAGTAAAGACATGTTTCTTTTCTTCTTATCTACTGAACACTTCTTCCAACAATCTACTAGCCGAATTACACTTATGCTAGAAATTTTATCAAACAAAACTGCTTAATCATGACAAATATTCACTGCAAAATTGGGAAAAAGTGCACAATACCATACTCCTTATGCGTTTTTCAAAATAACACATACGCATAAACCATGTACACGCCGACTTATTTTTACTTAAAAAAATCCCAGAATTGCACAAAAATGGCATTGCGCACACTCTTCACTATATCCATGTACACTGCTTTTTCTTATAAATTAGAAAAATTTCACGAAAAATACATGACAATTTTCTCAATCTTTAAACCCGGTAAAAAGAACATATATGAAATTACCTGATCGCGAAAAAGTATTTACCCTTTACAAATATGAACATTTCCACATATAAAATAAATAAAATATCCAAAAACTTTTACCTCTAAATCGTCTATTACATTATACACGTCACCAACGAATTCATACCGCAAGCATTACAAATACTTAGTATCAAATATTTAAATTATTTCCATGCATGTTTATTTCAACTTAAACGTGTACCAAATTCCTACAAACATAAAATTCACAAAATAACTATCATTTAATTAAAATATCACTAAACCATGTACACGTTGACTTATTTTTACTTAAAAAAACATCCCAGAATTGCACAAAAATGGCATTGCTCACACTCTTCACTATATCCATGTGCACTGCTTTTTTCTCATAAATTAGAAAAATTTCACGAAAATACATGACAATTTTCTCAATTTTTAAACCCGCTAAAAAGAACATATATGAAATTACCTGATCGCGAAAAAGTATTTACCCTTTACAAATATGAACATTTCCACATATAAAATAAATAAAATATCCAAAAACTTTTACCTCTAAATCATCTATTACATTATACACGTCATCCAACGAATTCATACCGCAAGCATTACAAATACTTAGTATCAAATATTTAAATTATTTCCATGCATGTTTATTTCAACTTAAACGTATACCAAATTCCTACAAACATAAAATTCACAAAATAACTATCATTTAATTAAAATATCACTAAACCATGTACACGCTGACTTATTTTTACTTAAAAAAACATCCCAGAATTGCACAAAAATGGCATTGCGCACACTCTTCATTATATCCATGTACACTGCTTTTTTCTCATAAATTAGAAAAATTTCACGAAAATTCATGACAATTTTTTCAATCTTTAAACCCGGTAAAAAGGACATATATGAAATTACCTGATCGCGAAAAAGTAATGAACATTTCCACATATAAAATAAATAAAATATCCAAAA